GCTCTTTCAGGCAGCTCCAGACTGGAGACTATAGAGGCCCCCCAGTCTGGAGGGATGTATGCACTCTGCCCTGCTCAAAGACCCCTTTGTGGGACTTGTATTTATAAAGCCAGCCTGCACCTCCAACACCTTCGCTGAGTCCCTTCTACACCTCCATCATGAGAGCCGTATGCAGTGCTGCTTTCCTTCTGGTCTGTTTTATTTGGGCCACTAATGCTCAGGCTCAGAACAACAGTAACCAGGGGAACGGCATCAACCACATCGAAAGCACCCAAAACAGTCGACAGCAGCAGCCGCAGAAAGGAAGCATCTGGGATGAGCCCATTCGTTTCAACACCAAAGCAAAAGATAGCTGCTACATGGTGATCTCCGGCCAGACCAACTTCACCAGGCTGCATGTCTCCTGCAAGAGCAAGGGCAAGTCGTACTGGTGCGATTTCCTGGGCAAACCTAACCTATGCAGGGCATATAGCAACAACCCTCGGCATTATTTTACTCAGATCATGTGGGACATGAGGAAGCTTCACAACGCATGCCAGGGACCACGGGTCTACAAACCGCAGATGTGCCGCTCTGCTTCAGATGAGGTCCAGATGGTGTTCCATGCCTCTTGGCCCAAAATCTCCATCCCAAAACCTACCCAGGCTTCCCCAAACCAGCAAAAGCAACAGCAGCAGATCAAGTCCAGCATTACCCCTACCAAACCTCCAAGTTCAAAGCAGCAGCCTAAACCTCAGCAACCAGCCAAACCAGCCTTCAAACCAGTCAAGCCTGCCATTACCAAGACTGTTCCACCACGTAAACCTGTAAAGACCATCACAGCGAGACCCACTGTGGCAGACGAGAGTCATGCAACCAAGATGGCAGAGGAATATTGCTGGAAGAGTCTCCAGGGCATCTGCGCATACTTCATAAGCTGGTTCCAAAATTAATTCATCACCACCTCTGGTAAGCACATCATTTTATAGTAAATAACTAGTCAGTGTTTGTAGAATTGTATGTGGAAACTAACTCGTTTAAGAAAGATCTACTAACTATATCTGACTGTAGTGTAAATAAACTAGCTTGAAGGAACTACATCACTCTGATGTACAAACTGCAGGTATTTTACGTAAAACCGACTCCTGGCTGTAATTGTTAGCTTGAGAACTAGTACAAGACTAGTAGTGTGTATTCGGCACATGAAAGACTGTAATTCAGAAGCTTTTTAGTATGAAAAGTTGTGATATATGCAGTGGAAAGTAAACAGAAAGCTAACTTAATGAATCATCAACCGCTGCTTTACACCCACACCCAGCACCTGCCAAATTTCAACAGGATATTTATGTTACACCTCCGCATTTTTCCAAAATAGCTCAAATAAAATTGGTTATAGAAGTGTATTATTTCTATCCATTGTTGCTCATATTTTTATCTTTTCTCCTCTTTGTAGGTTAGTAGTGTCAGAAAATTTTGATTTGTCTGACCACCGGCCAAGTGTTTTCTCCAGAGACCGCGGCTTTCTTTGTTTGTTTGTGTGTGTGTGTGTGTGTGCGGAAATGTGGTTATGACCTTACTTTTTGTAGAGTCAGTCAGTGAACATGCTAAGAGACAACAGAAATTAAATAAATAAATTTGTAATATGTTGTTTAATAAAAAACATTTCTTAATTCTGTGTATTGTGTCTGAATAAAAATCTTTTTTTTTTTTACTTTTTTTGTGCTTGCTTTCATATTAAAGTAGATAATGCAATGAAGTAGACATGCAGTGATGCACACAAGAACAATAATTGTGTTAGAATACATTTTTCACAATAATAGTCTCAAGAATTACATATAAATCCGAATTTGAGCATTTAGAATACTCTTAAATCTCATGTTCTAGTTGCATGTTAATTTACAACTAAATTATTTTCAGGAAAAAAATTATAATTCTGAGCTTATATAGTTTGATTAGCAAAGATTCCAAGTAAATATTAATAAACAAAATAATTCTCTAGATGACAAAAATAGGGGGAGTGCAGTTCCAAACCCAACTAGCACGATTTTTGTTTCACTCGACATGTCAGAGCACATCAACACCCCTAGGGGGCAATGATGCATGTCATTTAAAAAGATTCAGATTAACTGGTTACAAAACCCATATGAATTTAATGTTTTTTTTTTTTAATGGAGGTCCAGTATAAGGCAGCAATTTTAAAAGCCCTCAAAATAGAATCGGACACTGGTAAAACATGTACTATACTATAATTTAACATTAGCAACTTATATTTTGCTTGTAAAAATATATATTTATATTTAGTCAGTCAGAATACACTAATTTGAATGTCAGTCAATGGAGAAAGATACTTTTAATGCCAAATAACATAGTTAAAGGGAAAGTCTATGCAAAAATGAAAATTCTGTCATTATGCTCACTCTTATTGTTCCAAAGGTGTGTGACTTTCTTTCTTCTGTGAAACACAAAAGAAGACATTTTGAAGAATGCTGGCCACTAAACATTTCGGTGCATTGACGTCCATCATATGGACAAAAAATACACTGGAAGTCAATGGGGAACCAAAACTGTTTGGTTATCAACATTCTATCTTCTTTTGTGTTCAGCTTGGTTCAATAGAAGAAAGATAAGCAAACATTTTGGAATGACATGAGTAAATGATGAGTAGACTATCCCTTTAAGTCATCTGCTAGCAGGGGCTAATGGGGTTGTGCTAATCAGCCAAACCTTAAACCCTAGAGCTACAAAAACAGACTGGAATTTCTAAATGTCACACTGTCATGATGATAGACAGCTTCTTTTTTTTTTATATAGTATATTCCATAAGCTCTCAGCAAACATTTAACCAAAAGAAAGAAGAATGCATGTATTTGTATTACAAAGAGCTCAAATCCCTTAGATCCCAAATGTTATGATTTGAATATGTTGCACAGCTGGAAGCTGACACACCTGCCTAACACAAACTCTCCAGACACAACTCATGCTCTATGTCAGTGTTGCACAATATTTTCTGCCTTAAGTTCCCCACAGCCTCTTCAGTGAGGCACTAGTGCCTCATTAATTCATTAACTATATTATACTACATCATTTAGCACCATCAAAATATTATTAGTCCAACCATATATTTTTTTAATAAAGCAAATTTGCAAAAACCTGGAATCTCATATCCGCTAACTCAGCCCAGACCCTTCCTGTAAAATTGGTCATAGTGGAATAATGGTCATCAAATCAATAAGCACCAAACCATTTTTGTGATGGAATTCCAAGATGAGCTCATGAGCTTCTCCACCAGACACATGCACAGTATCAATAAAAACCATAATTTTCAATATCAATTCAGTATCAATAAAAACCATCAACATTCATTAATGCACATTTGGCTTTATCAATGCATGTGTGAGAGATCATATATAATGTATAATGAGAGATCATTATACATTACTGATAACTAACACTGATGTAGCTATAACTACAAAGAAAATATTGCTTGGTTGTAAAATTTCTCTTCATCTCTTGATCCCTTGGTAAATAAGTAATGAAGATGCACAAGGAAATTGGACTTTCATGGATGACTCATTGTTCATGACTCAAACAAAACTCCAGTGTGCATATATACGTATATATATTTCAGTTAAATTTAGATTTTTTATCCCATTTCATTTTATTTCAAATTTAGTTAATATTTAATAACGTAAAAACCTTAATGCATATACAAATACATTTTTTAACTCTCTCAGTCCGGCTTTCTGTCTCTCTGTACCCCATAACCCTCTCCCCTTCAAAAGTGACCTAAATTCATTAAACTCCCATTAACGTTCCATAAGTTACTAACACTTCATGATTTTTTTTGCACTACTGTTGTTGTACTATTACTTATTTTACACTGTGTGTGTGCAAAATAATCAATAAAGCACATTAAACTGATATTAAGAGAGAGGGGGTGGAGTGGCGGTTAAGCTATAGAATTAGGTCATAAAGACGCAATCACATGGGACCCCTCACCCCTATCACATGAGTGCCCACTCACAATGACCCTTTAACATACATTTTTACATACCAGGACATATTACACAATCATAATGGTGTTAAGTATATGCAGCCATAGAGCATGCTTAACCATGACTCTTACATACATTGAATTCAGGAACAGGTTGTGATCTTGTGAGGCCCAAGGGGACCAGACACACAATACCATACATACTTTGGAAAGAATGAGAAACTTTTGCTGCCCCCTCTTACTTCTGCTGCTATCTGTCTCCTCATCTGCCAAAAATGTCAAATTAATTATTACTACAATTGTGAACTGAAGTGTTGTATTTACAGGCAAATTGCAATGCTCATTTACTGTATTTTATTATTGTAGTTCATATAATTGTAAATTATTGGCAAACATCCAAATGCAATATGTTTGTATCCGTTTTACAGTTGCAGTACCTTGCTCTCAGTTTAGGGGTTCTGGGCCCATAATCCATTTTTTTGATGAAATGTAGTGTTTTTGAGCATGAACCAGCACCTACTTTAATATTTTAATAACCCTTATGTTGTTCTGGTCAATTTGATCCAGAGAGGATTGTCATTATGCTATATTAACAACAAATATTGGATTCGATCTTGGCTTCTTTCAACATTATGGTGAACATTGCCAACAAACAATGCTTTTTGTTTCACTCAAAATCTGAGGTGCATAAGCTCAGATCAATGAAGCCTATGATCAATCAGTTCCAAAAAGAAATACAAAACCTGTGGTACTTAAACTCAATGGATAAAAAAGCCCCAGACCCAAGGACATGACAGCTATGCAATTCCTATCTTTTAGTCCAGTCCCCTCTAAAAATGAACATTTTTAAATGTAGCCAAATGAACACATGCAAATATATGAATGACGTAAGCAGTGGATTCCTGCATGTGTGCAAGAGCTCATTAAAGGGCTTTTCTCATGTGAAAGAATCTGATTGTCCTGTAGTAAGTGGGTGTGTCACTTGACATAAATACCAGGAGTGAGTTCATTTTGACGTAAACTAGTCAGGGAATCTCATCAAACATCTGTCCTCGTAACTCTTATTGGTAAGATCAATTAACTTTTTTTGTGAAAATTAAAGTCCTATATGAGATTTTTTTTTACCTTATAAAAAGATATTACCTATTTACTATAAGTATATATACTAAAATGTAAGAAAGGACATAATATCGTAGGTTTATTCAATCTCATAATTAACATTTCTTAGATCGTTGTGTCACCGAAGGAAATGTCTCTCCGTGGGACTCTCGCGCTCCTGCTGTTCCTCGCGTGTCTTTCACAGCTCATCTTCACTGCTGAAAGCATTAAGGGAGCGGGGAGGAAAGGAAGGAGGCAGGAGAGCCGAGGTGATAATAACATTTCCGTACAAAAAGGAAAGTTCACAACCAAGGACAAGGCGCAGTGCTCGTGGGTGGCACGCGGAGAGGACAAGTACACCATGACTGTTACATGTAAGCCTGGAAAAGGGGATGGATTCACCTGTAAATATACTGCCAAGCCCGCGACGTGCACCGAATATGGGTCTAATCCCGAGGGCTATTGGAAACAGATCGCCAGATCAGTTAAAAAGCAGAAGAAACTTTGCGCGGATCCGCGCGCAATGATCCGAGCGGGCATGTGTAAGCGCGCGCCGCTGGATGCGCATTTCAAACTCTCCGAAACGTCACAAGCGAAACCCCCCAAGACAGAGAAGACGCCGATAGCCACGAACACAACGCCTCCGGACACTAAGCGACAGTGCACGGAGCGCATTGACCACAGCGAGGTAGCTAAAGAGAAGTGCGGAGATTCCTGGGCAAGTCTCTGCGCGTTTCTCTTCACTGTAATCCAGAGCGGAGATTGCTAAACGTGCGCGCTTTTACTCGACGTGTATGTATGCGTTTGTGGGTACTGTTATAGGCTACTACTGATTTTTTTTTAACCGTTTTTTATTGTAAACACAAAAATGCAGTTTTTGCCTTGACCATAGTGGCACTAAATTTATTCTTGACACATTTACAGTTTTTAATGATGACATTTAATCGGATAATAGTGATATATCTATTTATATTATGTTGAATATTATGTTTTCATTTATTTATTAAAGGGGCATTTTGAGGGATGTAGGAAAAGTAAATAATTTTGATGTTTGGAGTTATTTTTATTTCGAAGTGAAAAGTTTAAATAGACCCCTAGGGTACGACGACCCCAGTGGCTTTTTGTTGCTACTTTTATGGTTATTAGGCTATAAATCAGTTGTTTTATATCTTTCAATTAATTTGATTTTAAAAAGGGGGAAGATATAGGCCCTTTAAATCATTTTTAATTTTGTGCTTTAACTGTTAAATTTGCAAATATGTACATTTGTTTCTCATAATAATAAATTGGATGATGTTTCATCCTCACTATCACCTTCATCATCATCTCGTTTTAATATCCAGATGTTGTTACACAGCAAATGTAGCTTCGTCATGTATTTTCGTCAGTCTACTGTAAAATACAAGACTCACTGCATTGTAACTGTATTTATGACATGCAAAATAAATATTTGTATGTGTTGAAAGACACCCCATTCTTGTGAAATGACCACACGATGTTTCATTTAATACAAGCTTGTTTTTTAAAATGCAGCTTTGAGGCAGAGATGATTAACAAAAATAGCATTTTTTATTTGGATTTTCATTTGAGCATTTACAAATTATATAATATAGTAAAAATCACACAAAAATATAATCAGCCTAAACAAGTGATAAACCTTATCCAAATTTTAACCATAAGAAACTTCCTGTTCATGATAAGATTTTTGAGGATGTTGTCAGATCCTAATATTCTAAAAACCCTCCCCTACACACACACACACACACACACACTTGAACTTTCATTGTCTGTGGAGCAGCGGAAGAGATAAGGTAACCACAGATTCCAAACAGGTGTCTCTCTCTCTCTGTCAGTGTGTGTGTGTGTGTGTGTGTATTTACCAGGTATTGCCTATGTTATGGGGAGCAAATGACCCAACAAGTATAGTAATACCATAAACTTTAAACCTTGTGGGGACATTTTTGGATGCCCATGAGGAAAACAGCTTTCACACAGACTTAATTTTATTTATTTTTTTTTATCTAAAAATACAGAAAGTTAGGTTTAGGGGTAGGGTTAAGGTAAAGGGATAGAAAATACAGTTTGCACAAAACTATTACGCCTATGGAGAGTCCCCATAAAACATGGAAGTGGTTGTGTGTGTGTGTGTGTGTGTGTGTGTGTGTATGTGTGTGTGTAAACGTGTGTGTGTGTGTGTGTGTGTTGACTGAAGTAATCTGAGAATAGAAGCTGGAACTCGTGATACTTTGCCTTTATAACAGCATTCTTGGCAGTAGCCTATAGGTGAGTGTGTGTACCTGGTATTTCCAACATTATGAGGACCAAATGTACCCATAAGTATATAGTAATACCAGTAAATTTTGACCTTGTGGGGACACTTTTTTGGTCCCCATGAGGAAAACAGCTTATAATAAAGTGTTTTGAAAATCTAAAATCTTTCTTGTATTTATAAAATGAAATAATGAAATACACTGATGATGAAAAATAAACGTGAGAATTAAACCTACATGTATGTTATGGGTAATATAAAGTATGTTCTCAAATGGAACCTTGACAATAATTACTTTGCCTTTATAACAGCATTCTTGGCAGTAGCCTATAGGTGAGTGTGTGTACCTGGTATTTCCAACATTATGAGGACCAAATGTACCCATAAGTATATAGTAATACCAGTAAATTTGGACCTTGTGGGGACACTTTTTTGGTCCCCATGAGGAAAACAGCTTATAATAAAGTGTTTTGAAAAATCTAAAACCTTTCTTGTATTTATAAAATGAAATAATGAAATACACTGATGATGAAAAATAAAAGTGAGAATTAAACCTACATGTATGTTATGGGTAATATAAAGTATGTTCTCAAATGGAACCTTGACAATAATCATGTGACCATGATTTGTGAGGTAATTAATACATTCCATTTATATTACATCATATCAACACATGTGACAAATCATCCTTTGGGGTCAAAAAGGCAAGGGTTTGTAATGTGTGTACATTTGTTTTTGGAGATACTTTGTCACTGTGCATTCATAATTTGGCTCCCTGTCTATGGTTAATATGTAATCTTTTGTTTTACTTACAGAGGAGATTAAAGCTATTCGGTAATTACAGTTCGAAAAACTTCACCCAGGCATTTTTTATACTGTCATGAAAACGTAATTACAAATAATAACAGTCTGTATAAGCTGTCATACTGTCATAGAAAACTATGGAATAAAATATTGTCACCCAACCACAGGCTTATTACATATAGTTGTAGTGTATTAGTGTAAAAATGGTAGGCTATATGTTCTTTTCTTTCCAACTATGATTTCTAAAAATGCAGATTTTAGAATGGTACCTTTATTCTAAAACACCTTGTCCCTTTAGATAAAAAATAAAAATCATACCAAACTGAAACAGTCCACCCTAATCAATAGCCAAGGCTTTAAAACACATATAGGCACATTTCAAAAGACTGACTGGATGTGAAACTGATGAAAAGAAAAGCACACACTGTGAAGTTTAATATGTGAGGTGCACCAGATGTTGCAAACACACACACACACACACACCTTTCCTGTCCTACAAAAGATCTCATGAAATGTTCCATTCCCATTGAAGTGTGGAAAACTTAACATTATATAACTAAACCCATAATGAAACTCATTCTTCTCACCTAAAGGCCAAATAATTGCTCTGTCACATGACCGTCCATGACATTTCCTTTAGCAAGAGTACTTTTTCTTTCATTTTAGTTTCCCATGGGCACTCAGGCACACACACACACACACAAGCTGAACATACATGCCTATTCTGTGATAAATCCTCAAGGTGGTCTAGCATGTGTGAACAGGTGTAATACAGCAGATGGTGCAGATGTGCACATGATGAGCAGGAAGCATAAACAACACAGGCTTACAGCACTGGATTGAAAGAGGATCAGTGGAAAGCACATACATACATCTTGTAGACATTTACTTCCTGATTTGACATTTAATTCTTTAAGGAATAGTTTACCCAAAAATGTTTGGAATAACATGAGGAATACCGCTGACATCAAATTAACAAGTGTCTATACTAATGACTGTAAGTAGAAATAAATCTTATGAAAATTTGCCCACACATCCACAAGAACACGTGAGCACATTTTTGATTGGCCGATACTGTGGATCATATCATGCCCATGGCCAGTAAGAAATACTCTGATAACGGTTACTGCTGTTTTTCTACACACACCCAAAACAATATTTATATTGTGCAATTTATACATTACAGTTTGTGTGATCACACCACATTGCACTCCAACACACACTTACCGTCAACACAGTAAACGGTCAAAGTTTAAGATCATGTCATCATGCATCAAGACCAGGTTTTTGGACCTTGCTATTTTGAAAATGCTATTTTTAATATATCTTTCTGTCGGTAACATTTGTAATATAATTATGTGAAATATAATGACAATTGACAATACCTGTATTGTATTTGAATATATTTTAAAATGCAATTTATTCCTGTAAATTGAATTTTCAGCAGTTATTACTCCAGTCTTTAGTGTCATATGATTCTTCAGAAATCATACTTATTTTGTGCTCAAGGAACATTTATTATTATTATCACCGTTTGAAATGTTTGTGCTCATTATTGTCAATTTGGATCAATTCAATGTGTCTTTGCCAAACAAAAGTATTAGTTTCTTTTATTTTACAGACCCAAACTTTTGAACAGTAGTGTGAGTGTAAACACACATACACATATATACAGTGCTACAAAATGAAGGAACACTCAAATCCACAACTGGATCTCAGTGAACAAAATATTATAAGTTATTATAACACAAAATATTATAAATATTAAGTTAAATAATATAAGTTGGAAATCTTTACTTAAATACATTGTGTAATCCATTGAGAATAAAACGATGTCACAATGGTCAATGGAAACAAAATCATCAACCCATTGAAGGCTGGATTCAAAACCACACCAAAAATCAAGGTAAAAATTTGAAATGATCCAACTTGCATGAATTTCATCAAAGCAACGTACAGTATAAGGTAAGTCAGTAGTGTGTATGTCCTCCACACAAGGAAGGACAAGGAAGATTTTTTTAGTGGGAGACCATGAATTCAATATTACTGATAAAACCTTCACATATTACTGCACACACACCATTTAGGCTGAACTGAAATTGATAGGAATAGAGGTGAATCTTAAAGCTGTACCTAATATATGAGCTCATTTAACATTAGGATAAACTCTATGATCTCTTTAAGCCAAAAGAAGAGTTAGACAGGAACACAGTGCACCTCTCATAGTATCAAATACCGTTCAGACATTAGTGTGTGGGTGGGTGTGTGTGTAAAGGGAAGGTTAAAGTCTATTCAAGTTGCAGCTCAAACAGACCCAGGTATTCACTGGAAGTGAGCAGATTCTTTGCACACACATATTTGCGAATGTGTGTGTGTGTGTGTGTGGTCACCTATCTCTTTCTTTCAAAGATCATGTTCTTACATGACTACTGTTGCACCTGGGTTGCCGAAAGAAGAGATCAAAGTCATACTAACAGATGCATGGGATCATCCACAAAGTTTCCACAAATACTTAATATAAACATCTAAATGTCATGAATGCATTCATAACAACACATATATTGTGTCATTACCTTAAAACTGCCAACATACAAGCTTAATTCATCATGACAGGAATGCTTCCTTGCTTTCATTCATTCACACACATGGGAGGTGTGTATTGTTTGGTGGGCTGGCTTTAACATTCACTGTTCCTTTGTGTGGCTGAGGTGGCCTGACAGTCCCACCCCTGAATTCAGACAGTCCGATTGGCCGATATCCTGCTATGAAGTCACC